GAGTAGGACCACTCTACACTGTTCTCAACACTGTGGCCTTTCAGAAACGGGACGTCAGAACTGTCCTGCAAGGCACTTTTGGGTGGGTCTGAACTGGCAACCTTTCAGCCAGTAGTCAAGCACTTAATGGTTTGTGCTATCGAGAGACCCCTTCAACTGCTAGATCTAAATCAAGAACAGAAATGAGAAACATCAACAATACTTGTATAACAATGTCCACAGCAGGAAATAGCCAAAAAGGTGGAGCGCGCCTGAACGTCTACCAAAAAACAATTAATGGGTAAACACTGCACGTGCAATGGAATGTGGCTCAGCCATAAAGACAGATGAAGTCCCAGTACATACGTCACCATGGACGTGGACGGTGGTGATGGTTACATAATGAACATGAATGATGTGCCATTGAGTTATACCCACAAAAACATCAAGAAATGGCAAATGTTATATTTTTACCAGACATAGCAAAATTAGCTGACCCCACGCTGTTAGCTCCATGAAAGCCAATTCTATGTTACTTATTTAGTTGTGACAAAACCTTGAACAGAATATTTGGGGGTTGTGGTGGCTGTGTGCCCTCGGGTTGGTTGTGACTCATAGTGACCCAGTATTGAGTTCCTGAAAGTGGCTAGTAGGTTTCAACTGCCAACCTTGCAGTTAGCAATCCAATGCTTACCCTACAGCACTACATAGGACTCTGAATTTTGGTAAGACATCAATGTCAAGGCATTGGGTTCCAAATTCTCCACAATCTGACCACTTGTGCTGAAAATTAAAGTTAATGAATACATCATTGTCCTTCAATTTCTCCTAATTACATATTTTTTAAAAAATGTGAAGCCACTGAATTATAACTTTCACAGGTTTACAAAATAGAAATATCCCACAGACTATTCCTACCAAAACATGAAATGACGCTTACTGGCTTCTACCCATGTTTCCTACTTTGTGTGTTCTTATAACCTGCCTCAGTTGTGGTATAAGGCAGAAGTCAAATTTACAAAATAAAAATATGTCTTGCAAATATTTTAACTGCTCTTCCTTGTATAGGACCAATATTAAAAATACTTCTTGGCAACACACTCTAGTCCTGGTGTGGTACTGTGGGCTAATGCGTCAGACTGTGAAGTTGTTCGAACTGCAAAGTCAGTGGTTCAAGCTCACCAGCTGTTCCTTGGAAACCCCATACAAGGTCCCTATGGGTCATAATCAACTCAACGGCACATAACAACACAAAGGGCCACCAAGTTTCAACTCACAGCGAGCTGTCTAGGTTTCCAAATAGCTGGTTTGAACGGCTGACATTGCAGTTAGTGTCCACTGCTGATCCTACAGCTCCATAGCAGGATTTCCTTAATATACTGTAAGTGTCATCAAGCCAGTTCTGACTCATAGCAACCAAGTATAGGGCTTCTAAGGAGCAACTGGTGGGTATGAACTACCGACCATGCAGTCCTGTGTTTACCCTCCAGCACCACACACCAGGACTACTAGGGAGGCTTCAAAAAGTTTGTGGAAAAATTCCAGTATCTTTTCATTTACATTTTTTCATGAACCTTTTGAAGCCCCTTCCTAAGAATTTTGTTCTTTTAACAAGAATGTTATTACTAATGCTTAACTGTGTTTTTATTGTTTTAGGACTTTCATTAAGCAGATTCATATCCTGTGTCTACATTTGAAAATCAAGTTATCATCCATATCTGATGGTTTTCCCTATCAAGAGGACCTGGAGTGTAATGTTTGCATTACAATGAATTTATGAGCAGTGTTACTCTGGCCTCTACTTGTGTGGCACAAAATGGCCAAAGTCCGTTGTTTTTTCTGTTTCTGCAGATTGCATAGTCCTCAGAATTTAAAGTCTTGCTATTGTTAATTCTTTCCATATTCATGGTGCTACATTTGCAGTATCCATCAGTGGCTAAACTCTGGGCGGCCTGACTTGAATGGGACGCTAGTGAAGTAAACGGGTGATAAGCGAGACGGAGCGCGTGTCAAGGGAAGATGGCTTGCTGGCTTTCTCACCGTGCAGGGGGCGGCCATGTCTAAGTCTTCTTAGTCTCAAGGATTACCATTCTTCTCTCCCATATGTTGCTACTTTGCTTTTCAGGGCTTTAGTTCTACCTGAATTAAAGGGAATGGAAAAATATACCCTTGGAACAACCTGTTATAAAACTAATTGCAGCCACTGAAATTATTCTTTGAAAATTTTTAAAGGAAATCAGTATCTTAAAATGCTTGATTAAATAAACCTTTGTGTCCTCTGATCATCACTTGAAAGAGGTGGCTCAACTCAGCGTGAAGACACTTGGTACAGATGAGGGAGCTTCATAAAGTTTGTGGAACTATCCTGTTACTGTTACTTCCATTTTCCTAAGAACCCTTTGAAGCCCCCTTGTACACACTTTTTGTACTCACCTCAATGTTTTCGCATGATCAATTTACCAGCTTCATAAATGACTGCAATGCTTGTCAATTCTGGGAATTTACAGTGTTTTATGCAACACGGTATGTCTGTTAGCTGAAACAACTGTAGTTGTTCCTTTAGTACTTGCTTTTCCATTAGCCAGGCCTTTTACAACCGTTAACAAATTAAGCACACAAATTTCACTAAAACTGAGGCAGTCTTTGCTCTCTTCTGCATCACTGCTGTTTCTATTGGGACAACTCCTCCCCTAGTTATGGTTATACTGAGGGTCTAACCATGAAGCCAGATGACTATTATCCACACAGGCCCCAAGGCACAGCTATACCAATGACCTGTACCATCTTCAAATCCTGTCTGAAATGACCCTGCAGTAGATTCTCCTTTGAAAAAGAACAGAGAAAACATTTGATATGAATATAAACGAGGAAATAAAACAATCCAGGCATCAGGCTCACTTTGTTCATGTTTTCAGTGTTTAAAGTCCATTTTCCTGTACTATTCCACCAACTCTTGTTGCTATCAAGGATACAATTTATGAAACATTTTCCTTATGTGTTATAAGCAATTTCAAAGACAAGAATTAGCCACTGACCAGGGTTGCTATGATATGAGTTGGAAACGACTCCACAGCACATAACAACAGCAACAATGGATCCTAATGTTAACTAGAAAAATAAATAGCTAAACAGAAATGCCTACACATATATTCACTGATTAAAAACTCTATCACGACCAAACTTTTCTTTAGACTTGCTTCAGGATCTAAGATTTAGAATTAACCATAAAATAAAGGAAGCCTTGAATATTATTATCATATAAGGAGCTCTGGTAGTGTAGTGGTTACGAATCGGGCTGGGAACCACAAGGTCAGCAGTTTGAAACTACCAGCTGTTCCACAGGAGAAAGATGAGGCTTTCTGCTCCCGTAAAGATTTACAGCCTCGGAAACCCTGTACAGGGTCGCTATGAGTTGGAACCGACTCCACGGCACATAACAACAACATAAACAGTAAGAGAAAAAAACCTCTGGAAGCAAGAACTGGAGAAAAGTAATGCATGCAGAAAAATAGGGATGTTAATACACTTCACTGCAAACAAAGCACTGGCCATTCATTACCAATGTGCTATACGTTATCACACTACTGGGTCGAACATGCCAATATACGGACTGTTGTTAAGTGCTGCCAACTCAGTTCTGACTCATAGTTACCCTGTATAGTGTTTCTGAGAAGCAGCTGGTATTTCTGAACCGCCAACCTTGCTGTGAGCAGTCTAGTCCTTATCCTACAGTGCCACGCCAGAACTATCCTGTAACAAAGACCTAAAAAAAACACACACACACAAAACAAAGTCGGTAGTTTAAACAAGATTGATGTTATTTTCTGTCTGTGAAACAATCTGGAAATTGTTTTGGCAATTTTGGTACAAGGACCCAGGTCCTCTGTGTGGTTTCTCTCCCAACACCATAGCATCATTTCTTCTGCAGAGTCAGATGGCTCACTACCACATTCACTTCTTCAGGCAAAGGATCAAGAAAGGAACCCAAACTAGGCACACACCACTCTGAAGGGCACGCACCATTTCCCCTCACACACCACACAGAACAGAACCATGCCTACCAGAGACTGAAGAATGCTCTCTTCCAGGGTGCTTGTGCACAGCCCAGACCAAGGGTTCTGTCACTGTGCAACAAGGAAAGACTGTCTACTGGCGAAGACTGCTGATGCTCTCTGCACATCTCATTTAGAATAAAATTAGAAATTCAAACTTGAAAGTCATTCAACTGAGAACATGCCAGGATTGACAAGCTGAAAATAACTGCTTTCCTTCCTTCATGCACTCACCCAGTGCAACAAAATACAAAAGTGCTACCTGAATGATTTCCAAGGTGTTATTTTATTGGCATAAAGCCTAAATGAGGTGACAATTCCCCAGGTCGGCCAGTTAGCTATAATGAACTCAGCTGGGGAAAAAAGGAGGCTGTGGAGTTCCTCTTAAAATTTAATGAAGAAAAAAAAATCTTTCACTTATAAAGTAATAAAATACTGATTAATCTGAGCAATTTATCAGAATAAATTCCAAAACAAAAATTTTATCAAGTAAAAAGTCTGATTATTTTATGATGGCTTTTGGAAAAAAAAAAAAAAAGGTAGAGAAAGGTTTCTCAAACAAATCAACCACCTGTGTATTTTCTTCCTTTATTAAGGGAGAAAAAGTCTTCATGATTCTGCTAACAGACCATCGAACAATGAAGAGAAGGAGTCTGGAATGTCTTACATCTCCACCCTGCTGCTTGGTCTCCACCCTCCTGGGTCTCCGTCCTCCGCAGGGAGCGGAGTGAGTCCATCCCACAGCAACTGCAGAGTGAACTTGGTGCGTCAGAACCAAAGTTAGTTTGCTTATGTCTGATGCAAAAGTTCTCAACTCTGGTTCTCTGTTCTGTTACATACAGAGTCTTCCAGATTACAGATTACAAATGACCCCCATATGATCTGTAGAACATCAATCAAAGCTACAAAACAGATTATATCTAAAGTTATTTTTGTTTGAAACACACATTATTATTCCAAAGTCCCTAAATTGTGCAAGCCACTTTCAGGTGGCTTTATTTAGATGACCCAAGATGAATAAGTGTCATTATTGTTGTGTAGCTATGAAATAGATCATCATCCTTTACCTTGTTACATTTCCTCAATATAAAGTTCCCAGTCACTATCCGATCACACCCAATTTCTCCATTTCCAAAGAAGCCAAACAAGGGAACACTAGGAAAAAACTTCCTGAATGCATCAGACTCCACATTCTCCTTTGTTCTGTAATACTGAAAGCCCCTGCCCACACATGCAAACATGAAGCCGAAGGTGTTCTGTTCGGGAATGTTGGCTGCTTTCAGGCGCTGCACCACAGCCTCGGCGGTCTTCTCGTCATTGACGTCCTCATTAAGGAGCACTGTGGCACTCTGGATCCGGTGTCCGCTAAATGACAGTCCAACCACACCAGTGGCATCAACATCCAGAGGGTTTCTAAAATATTAAATTATAAACGGGAATTAGGTCATGAAACAAAGTTAAAATGTTAATGTCTTTTTTTTTTTTTTTTTGATAAAAGGAAAATCCTTGCCACTCAGTGATGGATATGGGGAATACACTGAGGGTTAGAAATTAATCTGATGAAATTGATGCATTAAAAAATTATAGAAGGGGAGACTTTGGCAAGATGGTAAACCAGGCAGATGCACTACATGAACCCTGTACAACAAAGAGACCAAATCAAACAGACAACAGATGAAAATCCTGGAACCATAAACTTCTGAAGCTAGGTTAAGAGACGTGGACAGAATGCTTGCTGGGAGCAGGGACAGTGAGGAAGACTGATGGCGTAACCACGTTGAACTTTTGTGAGCAGCTTTGGCAACAGAAGGTGGCCTGGCAGAGCAGGTTCACACAGGCAATGGGAAAGGTGACCAGAGGTGTGGCCAGCTCCCACCTTCATGCACCCCAAGCACAAACTCTGTTCTACAGGAGTTGGGAGCCACACTGCTGTGAGGCAGATGCCAGCTGCCATGTTTCGGTGCCTGGATTCAGGTGGCCTCAGCTCCAGATAAAACCACCAGATGAGCTTTAGTCTAGCAGGAATCTCCATAACCAACCACCCTGCCCCGCAGCTGCCCAGTGGTCCTGACAGACACAGAAACCAGCTCATCAGGGGCCTCCATGAACTACTTCTGGACTGCGGGTCCTGAACTTAGATAATAACTCTCAGGAATTCCACTGTCGTACCCGCCCGCACCCACCTTGTGAGCTTCTAAGGCTGGCAGGAATCCCTCAGAGTTTTCTCCTACAGGTCCAACAAATTGTACTGGTTTTTTGGTTTTTGCTTTTCTTTCGTTGTTCTAATGTTTTTGTTTATTCTTCTCTTTTCCATTCCCTTGAAGTTTATCCTATCTCCGCTTTTGTTTTTCTTTCTTATTCCCCCACCCCCTTTTTTTCCTACTGTTTTTCCTTTACTACTCTCCAAGTATTTTCTTTTTTTAAATTTCTTCCTGTTATTTTCCTCTTCATTAGCAATATTTTTCTGTCCTTTTCTACTCTTTTTTTTAAATGTTTTATTGTGAATTATGTGATCGTTTACATGGGAGAACATTAGCTTTACATTCATTCTATTGTATATCATCTCATTGTCATGGTTACAGTCCCCTCCATACACCATCAACCAACCAAAGGGTACATACCCTGAAAGCCTGTCCCCCACACACCCTACCCCCGGTCTTCAGCACACAGCCCTTCTCCCTCTCTGTGTCTAAAGTCCCCAGCTGCTCCATCGCGCCACATCATCGTCTCTGCCTCCATCTCAGGCATCACTGCTTCTCTGGGTAGGGTCCCGCTCTCCGCTCTTCTCTGTTGATGGTCCTAGGGACCTCTGCTCCTAGACTGGAAAGTTAATCACTCCCCTTCTTGCTATAAAATGTCTACCTTTACATTTCCAACCCTCACAATCAGTCCTGATAACAATTGTTCACTATTGTATCATAAGAGACCCATCTGCATTTCATTTCATCAGCCCTGCCTAGACAGATTGTATACTACTCACTGGAGATTCTACCTTCCTCCAGGCCCTCTGGATCTAGGTTCCCTCTTGAAAGTTTGTAAGCCAGTCACTTCTTGCCTTTGTAGCCACCGCCCCCCGCCCCTTTGGGTAGCCAATGTCCAAGTTGCCCATCCCTGTCTACTCTGTGTGTGGAGAGGGTGGGAATGATTCTTGCTGTAAGGATTTGTTCCCTCTTTTGAGCTACTGCATCCATAGGTGTAGGTCAAGTTCATCAAATTGTATCAGATTACTTTTTTTTTTCCTCTACTTTCTTCTTTGGTTGAGCTCTGATCATCCAGTCATTGAAGCCAAGTCAAGTGTGTTATTATCTGCAAGTGTGGGTGTTCTTGTGCATATGCCCTCTCTTCTTACCAGCTGGACGCTTCACTCTCCACTCTAGTCTTCTGTGGCTATGTCACTGACTCTGGGCCCAAGAGTCCCCAGGTCTTGCCACACTGCTGGCCAATCAGGTCTTCACCACGGTTCACAGAAGTCTATTGAACATTGTAGGGCTTAGCTCGCTGCTTCATTGCTGTTTTTCCCTCCCTTCCCCTTATCGGTGACGAGCTTCTCTACTCTTTTTTAGTTATTACATTCTTTTGCTGCCTGTTTTTTCTTTCACTTTTCTCCTTTATTTTCTCTCTTCATTGATGGTTGTTTATCTGTTTTGTTTTCTTGTGTGTGTATATAGGGGGAAAAGGAAAGTTTTCTCTGCTTTCCTACCCAACAAGAGACAAAAACCATACCCATGCAGCCCAGCCACAACCATATTCTCTGCAGCGCCACCCACGGGGCAAGAGCCAATGTAAGTAAGCTCTTGATCAACAATATACCTACCACTTGGTGGACAGCAGCCCACACCGGACAAACCCTAAGCTGAGGTGCACAAATGGCAGAGAACAGTGCACACACTTCCATTCTCTAACTACACCCACAGAAGACATTTAGTGAGGGTCTAAGAACACAGCCTACAATCAGTAATTAAATACAAATACACCACCACAGTGTCCCGGCGACAACAGATCAATTTAGCTCACACAAGCAACAAGACAGAATAGCTCACGGAAATGACCAAGATGAAGACCCAGGAAAAGTTTCTCAGGAAGAAAAAGTAACAGCACTAGCTGAAAAAGAATTCAGGAAAACACTGTAAGAACAAACAAAATAAATGCACATTTAAAAATAATATAAAACTTATGATTAGAAATCCAGAAGATTTATACTGAAATTTCAGAAACAGACAATTTTTTAGGACAAAGGAGTGGATTGGAAGCAATGGAAGTCCAAATTAGTGAGCTTCAAGATGAACCCTTCAATACTAGTATGCTGGGAGAAGATTCTGAAAACAGAGTGACAAGAATCTGAAGAAAGCCTAAGAATTATGTGGGATGCCAGGAAGAGGAATAACTCATGGGTGACTGGCATTCCAGACAATAAAAAGCACAGAGAAAATTGTTGAAGAGTTGTTTTAAGAAAACGTCTCTAACAAGATGAACCAAAAAGCATGTAAGAAGCGGAACAAACCACTAGATCAAAAACTAAATAAAATCACCAAGACATAGCATAATACAATTTTCCCAAACCAAACACAAGCAATGAATTCTGAGAGCAGCTCAGTAAAAATGAAAAGCTGCCTACAAAAGGGAACTGTGCAAGTAAGAAGGCAATGGGATGACACGTACAAAACTCTGAAAGAAAAAAACTGCCAACCAACAATCATATGCCCAGAAAACCTGCCCCTCAAACACAACGGCGAAATTAGTACATTCACAGACAAACAGAAATTAAAGGAATCTGTAATGACCAGACCAACTTTACAAGCAATACTAAAGGGTGTTTTCTAGGCTGTGAACCAGTAACAGAAGGCAGAAACCTGAGATGACTATACATGCTAACACCACCCAGAACTCAATCCACATATATAAGATTTAAAGTAAAACAAACCCACAAGACTGAAAATAACAATTGCTGAAAACATAAGCTTAAGTTCTTATGTTTTTGTCATTGATAGCAACAAGTGATTCCTTGATACAAAGCAGCAAGATTTAAAAAGGTTTGTGTTGTTGTGGGTTAATGTGCCAGGCCGACCTTGCAGCCCGCCCAGTGCATGAACCCACAGTGCCACACCAGGACGAAAACAGTAAGGCTAATAGCTAGTGGCAAAACTAGATTCTAATGGCCTCTGCTGCCCTTTTAGCTTTATCTGACTCCCTCTGCTGGACACTTGCAGCACATGCTCTCAATCTCACCAAGACTTAGTTGCCTCTCTTTTTAGGGAATATGGGTCCTAGACATCACTGTAATGTAGCAGTGATTTACTCAACAGCTTTTCTTACCCAATGGACAGTATGCTGACCGTTTTAAATGAATGCGTCATGTAAAGAGTTATGATTGGGGGAGGAGGGGCTTATTTCCCATACTGGTCTCCTAGTGTGGATAAGCACTAAACTACAAACCACAAGGTCGACATTCAAACCCACCAGCTGCTTCTTGGAAACGCTGTATAGAGTTGCTATGAGTTGGAATCGACTCAACGGCATTTACCATCTCCCATACTAAGTATAAAAACTAGCTGAGCTAGCCACACTGAAAACCTACCTACCACCACTGCCCTTACTGTTAAACAAGTTAAATGTAGAAACAAAGACACAGGGAAATTAGGGGATGGAACTCACACATAGATCAAGAGAACTGTGCTTTCCACAGGGATTTCAAGGCTGTGACCTTTCAGAAGTAGATCACCAAGCCTTTCTTCAAAGGTTCCAATGGGTGGGGGGCATGAACCACCAGGCTGTCAGCTTAACTATCTGTGCCTGGTGTGGCACTGTAGGATAAGCACTAGACTGCCAATCTCAAGATCAGCCATTTACATCCACCAGTTGCTCCTTGAAAACCCTTTACAGGGTTGCTATGAGCCAGAACTGACTCCACTGCACTTTAACATCAACAATTATGCCACCTCAGGACTCAATCCATAGCCACCTAGATTTCAGTGTATATACGTATAAAATGTAAAATGCACACAAAGTCTGATGTCATACTATGTAGATTTCAATGCACTTGGCTTTCATCCTTTTTTTCCTCACTGGCAGTCCAGAGACTCCAGCTTAGCTTTTTGCTTTTCCAAATCCACTAATGAAAAAGGATCAGAACTTGGATGATTTGTGCTGTCTCCACATGACCACTCAGAGAAGTAGGTACTAGTGTTTATAAGGAAGCCCTGGGGAGTGAGAAGGGAGGCTCACTTTCCTGCCTTTGAACCACACTGGTGTCCACTTAAATCAGCTGAATTCACATTACTACAGACTTTCCTTCCAAACAGAAGGGCGTAATGCCTTCCAACACAGAAGAGCAAACGTCTTAGTCACAAAATCAAACATTCACAATTTTTGGTCTTGAACAGACCTTTTATGAAGATACATATAATACAGGCTTCTTACAACCGTGTGCCAACACCAGCAGTCTGATAAAACACTCCACAGGAAAAAAACCTTATGGCCAAATGGATTTGTGGATGGAGGCTGACTTACAGAGCACAGAGCATGTTAGAGAGGCTTTACCGTAAAGACACATTGTTTAACACCAATGTCCCATACAGGAGTGAAGAGACCTTGGAAGGAAGTGACAGTAAACCTCAGAGCTGTCAAAAAACATCTGTAAGCAAGGGCTTGTTACAAGTCTGTTTAAAATTCATTCTTACAAGAGTTTGAGGCCAACTAAGACTAAGTACGCACTGCAGGGACAATGCATGACATTTCACTCTTCAACTGTGATCACAGTTAGGGTGAGACTAGTTAAAGCCCTTAATCTAAATCCAGGGCAAAATGCAATCAACTGTTAAGTGCCAGTGAGTCAGCTGTAGCAAGTCTTTAAATACTTTCTAAAACTGAGACCATCTTTCCTCCCCCCAAGAGACATACTTTTCAGAAGTCAGTGATGACAGGTTGTCCACTTGGCCTCCAGCCAAGATGATGTTCATATCACTGAAAGTGCTGACCACTCGCTGCAGATAATTGCTAGCTCCCACCTTGCAGCAATTGTAGCCGAATACCAGGACCACACGAAGCTCTGGGTTATCTAAGAGACCTGCAGAGAAAAGAAGGACCAACAATGAAAGGCCTATCTCAACAAAACAGATGATCTTCTGTATCTTGCATAATGAAACTACTGATGATGACTTACATTCCTAGTCAAGTATGTAAGCTCCCAGTTTTCCTTTTTACAAGCTCACACACCATTCAAAACTAGAGAAACAAAATGGTTTTTAGAGCCAATACTTAATGCAAATAAAGAAGCAGCTATGTAGCAGAGCAGAGCAGCCCTTGGTGGCCCACGGTGCCAGCAGGTTCCACACAAGCCACCATCTGGAGTGGAAGGGAACACTGGTCTACATGAAACAGAGTTAGGCAACATTGAGAATTTAAAGATTCAGAGACAACAAACACAGAGAGGCATTAACGCCTCTGTTTGGGTGAATGTTGTTGTTAAGTGTCGTCAAGTCGGTTCCGACCCACAGCAACCCTGCTTAGGGTTTCCAAGGAGCAACTGGTGACCTTGAACTGCTGACCTTGCAGTTCAAACAGCTTTGCAGTCTGGCGCATTAACCCACAAAAGATATATCCACAACATGGAATCTCTGGAACCTATGAATGTTACCTTTATTTGCAAAAAGGGTCTTTGCAGATACGATTAATTGAGGATCTTGAGATGAAACACTCATCTGGATTATTGGAGTAGGCTCTAAATCCAGGGACGACTGTTCTTAGAAAAGGTACACACAGGAGAGACAAGGGAAGAGGCAGTAGTGACCACAAAAGCTGACTGAAACCTGAATGGCATGACTATAGGAGCGCCCACAGCCAACAGCCACATTCTCCCATATCACCTCCAGAGTGTCCGGCTGCCAACTTCACTTCAACACGGAACCTCTAGAACTGCGAGGGAGTGCTTTTCTGTTGTTATAAGCCACCAAGTTTGTCATGCTATGTTATGGCAGCCCTAAGAAGTAGACACATCACCAAAACACAGACACTGTCCACTTAGTCCAGGAAAGGGAGGTTAGGAAAGAAGGTGGTGGATTGTGCCACCCCATGACCAAGTACTAACCCCAAATAATGACTTGTTCTGGGAAGTGCATCTGGTTCCCTTCTTCTCCACGGCACACTACCACCACCACCCCTACCACCCCAAGTCATTATTAGGGGTCTTTTTCTCCCTCAGACCAAAGTAGCAAATTTTAATGGAGTGGGTTTTTTTTTTAATTTCTGAGTTGGAGGAGGCCTGCGGGATCAACAATCTAATATTATTTTACGAGGAGCATTGTCACTCTCAGACAAGTGACTGGCCCAGGACAATGTCACAGCAGACACTAGATCAGAGCCCATCTCCTGACTCTCAGAGGGCCTTTAGAAGCAAAGACTTCATTGTTCTATACCTCTCCTTTTCCTACTGTTTCCTAGGAGTCGTGAGGTGGCGTTGCAGGATAATGGGCTGGACCCAAGGTCAGGCTGAACCTGAAGGTTGGTGGTTCACACTCACCAGCTGCTCCTCAGAAACACTATACAGGGCTGCTGTGTGTCAGAACCGACTCAACGACGCTTAACAACAACACTACTGAACATATTCCTCTGAATATTCTAAAAGGTGGCATAAAAAGTTAGCTCTTGACTAACCTAACAGGTTGTTGGTTCATTCCTTCCAGAATGAGCCTGAAAGAACCAAGTCCTGGTAAGCTGCTGCTTCTGTAGGTTGGAGCCGCTCTGGAACATGTGGGATGGCCGTAAGAATCACTTTGACAACAACAGGTTTGGGTTTTGCTACATATAAATAACCGAGATTATATATAAAAGGCCTGGTAGCACCGTGGTTAAGCACGGGGTTGCTAACCCAAAGGTCAGCAGTTCAAGCCCACTAGCTGCTCAACAGGAGAAAGATATGGCAGTCTGCTTCCATACAGACTTACAGCCTTGGAAGTCCTAATGGGCAGTTCTACTCTGTCCTATTGTTGTTAAGTGCCGTGGAGTTGGTTCCGACTCATAGCAATCCTGTACAGGGTTTCCGAGGCTGTAAATCTTTACGGGAGCAGAACCTCTGGTGGTTTCGAACTGCTGACCTTGAGGATGGCAGCCTTACTCGTAACCACTACGCTTACAGGGTCACTAGAAGTCAAAATAGACTCCACAGCATTATGTTTGTTATTGTGGCACCACAGGATAAGCACGACCTCAAAGTTGGTGGTTCAAACTCACCAGTCGCTCCTTAGAAACCCCTACACAGGGTCGCTGTAAATCGGCACACAACAACAACAACATGCACAGAGAGAAAAGGAGAGAGACTGAAAACAGGATAAACAGTTAACATTTGGACAATATTCATGAAGGATATACAAGAACTCTATACTTTTCTATAAGGCACTTAACAACAACAACAACATGTTTGAAATTATTTTAGAATTGAAAAAGGTTAGGTAGCCTGTGGTTGTTTTACTAGAATTATTTAAAAACTGATAGAGACTTCTGACAATATTATACTCAAATTGTTCTTTCAGGTCAAAATCATATCTGTTATAGGGATCAATTACAGTTCATGGGCAAAATCCTTCCTATGGCTGTACATTTCTATAAACATAAACACAAACACATCCATTTGTTTACATAGTGACTGTTTTACCACAAATTAACATGGCAGACAGAGACTGCAAGTTTAAAATATCTCCTGTCTAACCTTTCCCAAAATTAGCTTGCCTACCTGGTGCACCTTGGTAGGTCTTTAACTCATGCAAAGACACTGAAATATTTTGAGGATAATTTAACAACAAAAAGAAAACCCAATCCAAAAACTGGGCAAAGGTCTTGAATAAACATTTCACCAAAGAGGACATTCAAATGGCCAAGCATCACATGAAAAGGTTTCCAATATCATTACTCATTCCTGTTGCCATGGAGTCAATTCTGACTTATAAGAATCCTACCAGGAAATACACATCAGAAACACAATGAAATACAACCTCACTCCCAACCACCTCCCATTACAATGACAATGACCAAAAAACTGGAACAAAGGTTGTGGAGAATATAGACCCTTTCTCCGTTGCTGGTGGAACCGTAAAATGGTACAGCGAGCCTGCTGTTGCTGTTGGGTGCCACTGAATTGGTATCCACTCATAGCAACCCTGGGCACAACAGAATGAAACACTGCCCGGTCCTGGGCCAACCTCACAAGTGTTACCACGCTTGAACCCACTGATGCTGCCATTTTGCGAATACATCTCACTAGGGGTCTTCCTCTTTTTCTCTGACCCTCCACCCTACCAAACATATCCCCTTCTCCAGCAACTGGACCCTCCTGATAATATGTCCGAAATATGAAAGACGAAGTTTGGCCATCCTGGCCTCCAAGAAGCACTCTGGCTGCACTTCTTCCAACACAGATCTGTTGGTTCTTTTGGCAGCCCATGGCACTTTCAAGATTCTTCTCCAACACCTTAACTCAAAAGGATCAATTTTTCTATGGTCTTCCTTATTCACTGTCCAGCTTTCACATGCATATGAGGTTACTGAAAATACCATGGCTTGGGTCAGGAGCACCTTAGTCTTCAAGCAGACATCTTTGCTCTTCAACACTTTAAAAAGGTCTTGTGCAGCAGACTTGCCTAATACAATACGTCGTTTGATTTCTTGACTGCTGCTTCCATGAGTGTTGATAATTGATCCAAGAAGAATGAAGTCCTTGACAACTTTAATCTTTTTCTCCCTTGATAAGAATGTTTATTGTTCCAATGGTGAGGATTTTTGTTTTCCTTCCATTGAGATGCAATCCATACGGAAGGCTGTGTTCTTTAATCTTCATCAGTAAATATTTTCAGTCCTCTTCACTTTCAGCAAGTAAGGTTGTATCATCTGCATATCACAGGTTGTTAATGAGTTTTTCTCCAATCCTGATGTCACCTTTTTCTTGATAGAACCCAGCTTCTCAGATTATTTGCTCAGCATACAGGCTGAATAAGTATGGTAAAAGAATACAACCCCGTCATACATCTTCCCTAATTTGAAACCATTCAGTGTTCTCATGTTCTGTTCAAACAACTTCCTCTTGGTCCATTTAAAGATTCCTCATGAACGCAATTAAGTGTTCTGGAATACTCATACTTTGCAATGTTGTCCATAGCTTGTCATGAGCCACACAATCAAAAGCCTTTGCGTAGTCAATAGAGCACAGGTAAACATCTTTCTGGTATTCTCAGCCAAGATCCATCTGACATCAGCAATGATATCCCTCGTTCCACATGCTCTTCTGCATCTGGCTTGAACCTCTGGAAGTTCTCTGTCAATGTATGCTTGCAGTCATTTCCACATTAAGTTTAGTAAAATTTTACTCGCATGGGATATCAAAGATACTGTCCGATGATTTCCGCATTCCATTGGGTCACCTCTCTTTAGAATGGGCACAAATACAGATCTCTTCCAATCAGTCAGCCAGATAGTTATCTTCCAAATTTCCTGGAAGAGATGAGTGTGTGCCTCCAGTGCCGCCTCACTTTCTTGAAAGACTTCAATTTTTATTCCATCAATTCCTGGAGACTTGTTCTTTGCCAATTCCTTCAATGTACCTTGGACTTCTTCCTTCAGTATCACTGGCTCTTGATCATATGCTACCTCTTGAAATGGTTGAAAGAGAGCAAGTTTCAATGTCTCTTCTGATATCCATTTTGACCTTTTCCTTCTTTCTTGTCTTTTTTTAAAATTTTTATTGTGAATTATGTGTTTGTTAACATGGGTGAATATTATCTTTACATTCATCCTATTGTACTTTGTTTCAATGCAATGATCACAATCCCCTACATGGATCATCAAACACCCAAAGGGTACACCCCACATGCCTGCCTCCCAGCCGCCAGACACAACTCCTCTCCCTTCCTGAGTCCAGAGTCCCCAGCCGCTCCTTCTGTCCACGTCATTGCCTCTGCCTCCATCCCTAGTGTCCCTGCCTCTCTGGACACAGTCTCGTACTTCGCTTTTCTTTTTCTCCCTTGGTTCCAGGGATCCTCGCTCCTGGACTGCAAAATCAGCCGCTCCCCTCCTTTTGTT